TGTTACCTTTGCTAGGCCTGACAGGCAGCATCAGGCCTACCCCTATAGGCTCAGTATGCTGATACTGTGTTTGTATTGTCATGTATCTGCCATGTGGTGCTCTAGACTGGTTCTACTTTTTTATTTTTAGTCATAGCTGATAAACTTGCTTCAAGACCCCAAGAGCAGTTCAAATCCTGCAGTTCCCACAAGAGGCCCCAAGCCCCCGCAGTTCTTGCAGCTGCAGTGACACCCATGCCCCTCACTTCTGCACCACACAGACCTGGCAGGAGGCAGGAAGGTTCAAAGGCTATTTTCATTCCAACTAGTATCAGCCTTGACAGAACTTCTTCTCTGTGGTTGTGATGAAGTTTTCTTAGGATACCCTTTATTTGTGAACTGGGAAGAGTTTCCAACAGCCACCTAACTTTTTTTTTCCCTTTGACTTAGATTCTCCAAGTGAAAGTGATTGCATTTTTTTTTGTAAAGATGAACATTTCCCCTACAAAATTTCTCAATGGGACAACACATGGGATTTTCCTGTCTTACTGAGGATGAACTTTGTTTGATAGCGTAACAATGAGCATATGGGCTTTTACTGGTGGATTGTCTCTTGTTCTCTGTATTTTGCAGTGTGCATCCTGGCTATGACAAAAACCTGTGACTCATCGGAGCACTTCATGCAGAAAGTCCCTAACATCTCTTTTTTTCCCCTCATCGTCTCAATAAAAATAGCTGCAGCAGGCAAAAGAAAACAATGCAGATACGCAGTTGTCAAGACCAGAGCAGTAAAAGAAACTTGGTTTCTTTCTACCACTGGACATTCTTAAGAACCACAAGGATCCATCCAGAGCCTTTGTTTACATTGTACTTCTGATCACACTTCTCCTGTCATTCAAATTTCACCACTTCACTCTAGCTCCTGAGACCTGGCTGCAACTTTGGTGCCCTTGAGGAGGGTGACAGAGTAACTCCTTGGGCCCTTGGTTTCAAGGGACCTTTAGTTTCAGATCTGTGACTACGGAAGTCCCTCACTGTCTCCCAACCTCACACCTCATGAGCTCCAAGGACTTCAGAGTCATGACAGAGACAGGTGTATCAGTATTATTTTGAGGCAGAAAAGTCAAGTATGCGATGTGCTGGGACTTGTAACATACTATGGTTTTATAGAAAAAATGTGTCTGGGAAAAATGCTTAGGGAGAGATGTATGCCCTGTCCAACCTAATCAGATATTGGCTCTGAAAAACCTCTCCTTGTTGTATGATGCTTATCTACACCCTTAACAAAGCTGTTCTTTCTATGACTTGTGACTCTAATATTAAGTCTTTGGTGTGATTGGCCTATTTCTGTCTAAATCACAGAATATGCTGAGTTGGAAGGGGCACACAAGGATCAGAGTCCAACTCCTGGCCCTGCACTCATTCCTGAGAGTCACACCATGTGCCGAGAGTATCATCCAAACGTTCCTTGAATTCTGTCAGGCTTGGTGCTGTGACCACTTCCCTGGGGAGCCTGTTCCAGCATCTAACCACCCTCTGGGGGAAGATCCTGTTTCTAATACCCAACCTACACCTCTCCTGACACAACTTCAGGCCATTCCCTAGTGTTCTAGCACTGGTCACCACTGCCTCTCTTCTTCCCCTCAGGAGGAAGTTGTAACTGCAATGAGGTCTCCCCTCAGTCTCCTCTTCTCCAGCTGAACAGACCAAGTGACCTCAGTTGCTCCTCCTTAAGGCCCCTCACCATCTTTGCTGCTCTCCTTTAGATGCTCTCTAATGGCTTAATATCTTTCTTAATATCTTTCTTATATTGTGGTGCCCAAAACTGCCCCAATATTCCAGAGTAGAGCGGGACAATCACCTCCCTCACCTGGCTGGTGATGCTTTGCCTAATGACCCCCCAGGACATGGTTGGCCCTCCTGGCTGCCAGGGCACTGCTGACTCCAACCTGCCATCAACCAGGACCCCCAGGTCCCTTTCCAGGGCACTGATTTCCAGCATCTCATTCTCCAGTCTGTATGAGCAGCCAGGGTTGCCCCATCCCAAGTGCATAATGAGGCACTTCCCCTTGTTGAACTTCATAAGGTTGGTGACTGCCCACTCCTCTAATTTGTCGAGGTCTCTCTGCAGGGCCTTCCTGCTTTTGAGGGAGTCAACAGCTCCTCTGAGTTTTGTGTGGCCTGCAGACTTGCTTACTGTCCCTTCCAGTCCTGCATCCAAGTCATTTATGAAGATGTTGAAGAGCACAGGGCCCAAGATGGAGCCCTGCAGAACCCCACCAGTGACAGGTGGCCAGTCTGATGTTACCCCTTTCACTATTACTATCTGCGCTCAACCTGTGAGCCAATTGCTCACCCATTGTGTGATGTGTTTATCCAGCTGTGTGCTGGACATTTTGTCCAGAAGGATCCTGTGAGAGACAGTATTGAAAGCTTTACTGAAATCCAAAAAAATTACATCAACTGGCTTCCCTTGATCGGTTACCTTGTCATAGAAGGAAATCAGGTTTGACAATCAGGACTTCCCTCTCGTGAAGCCGTGCTGGCTGTGACCAATGACTGCATTGTCTTTCAGCTGTTTTTCAATACCTTCCAGAATAATCTTCTCCATAACTTTACCAGGCACTGAAGTGAGACTGACAGGCCTGTAGTTTCTGGGATCCTCCTCCTTGCCCCTCTTGAAAATCAGGACAACATTCGCCAGCTTCCAGTCAGTTTGGACCTTTCCTGATTCCCAAAACCACTCAAAAATCATTGAGAGAGGTTTTGCAATGACATCAGCAGCTTTTTGAGTATTCTTGGATGAATCCCATCAGGCCCTGTAAATTTGCAGGGATCCAGCTGGAGCAGCAGATCCCACAGAATTTCAGGGTTGACTGGGAGTTGATCTTTCTCGCAGTCAAGGACACTGAGACCCCCTTGGTCTGTCATCCATGTTGAAGACAGAGGCAAAGGAAGTGTTAAACACCCCTGCCTTGTCTGTGTCCCCTTTGTAAGGTGACCATCCCCATCCTGTAATGGGCCGAGGATATTTCCATACTGCCTATTGCCACTTATGTACTTGAAAAAACTCTTTTTATTGTCCCCCACATTTCTGGCAACTTCATCTCCAATTGAGCTGTAGCAACACAAATTTTCTCCCTATTGCAGCAAGCAACATTTCTGTATTCTTCCCATGTCACTTGACTTTGCTTCCACTGGGCATACGCCTTGCTTTTTTGCCATATTTCCAAGATCCCTGTTTAGCTAAGCCAGCCTTCTGCCTCGCCTGCTTGACTTCCCACATTTGGGAAGTGCCTGCTCCTGTGCCCTTAGGAGGCAATGTTTCAAAAGTGACCAGCACTGATGGACCCCAGCACCTGCAAAAACATGTTTCCAGGGGACCTTACTTACAAATTCCTTGAGCAGCTTGAATTCTGCTCTCCTCATGTCCAGAGTTGAGGGTTTGCTGGCACTTTTCCTCCTGTCTACACTATTCATTGCATACCATTTGCCCTGGACAGATTAACTCTCTTGTTAAATGTTTGGAAAGACCAATTGTTGTGTTGGTTTAATAGCTGATAAAAGCTATTAAACCAACACCATGGGCATGTACCTTGTTTTTTGGTTGAAATGGATTAGATTAGCCTTTCGATTTTTTCCATGTCTAGTTTCTTTCATGGTCCCATTGAAGAGGCTTTCTGCTTAAAAGCAGAACTGGTGTGGAAGTGCTGTTCTTTCAGACAGCATGTGATTCCTGCACAGTTTCTCTATATACCTTCTCCCTTCGCAAGCATCATTTCTGCTGCTAGATCTTCCTTCCATTAAAAGGACCACTGTTGATGGATTGCTGGACACCTGGACACCACAGATATTCATGTCATGGTGGTCCAAGCTATGTGAAACGAAACAGGCCAGCAGTTTCTCTTGTCTTAGGCATCAAGGATTGCTGAGCTTTCTGTGACCAAACGTGGCATAAGCACTTTGCCTCATGCAAAGCACTCTCAGTGCAGCAAACCAAATGGAAGCACCTTGCAACCAGAACAAAATGCTGAACCAAGAAAGCAACACAGCTCTAGGGTTTGTTTTTTTCTTGTCTTTTAAATCATGTTAAAAACAGGCAAGCTGAGACAGCTTCCTTCATGGCAGAGCTGTAGGATGGGGGAGGGTAGTAGGAGGCATAAAAAAAACCCAAATCCCAAAGCAAAGCCAAAATCAACAAGAAGATATAAGTATAGCTATTTGGTCTCTAGTTCCCTAACATCACCTTTCAGATTGGTGAATCATCTACCTCTCCTGCAGCAGAAAATGACCTTGGAGAGGCTTCTGAGTAATACAAACCATGTGATGAGTCCCTTTGCTTTCTCCCTATGATGTAAGGAACAGTCCTTCACCTTTCACCCCCAAATTGCTAGCAGGTATGCTATTCCTTTTCTAATTAGAGATGCTTCAGTCTTCCCTAAAAAGGGAAAAAGCTTTGAGCTGAAATTCTGCATTGTGGAGAATATTGGGGAGGTTTATATATATATATATATATATATATATATATATGAAACTTTTATATATACACACATATATATGTCTTCATCCCTGCCCACCCTTCCCCCTGCTCCAGTCTATCACTTCTTTGCTAGAAAGAGGGAAACGTTAACTGATAGTCTGCTGCAGAGGTTTGATACACTTGTTTTTCTCCTCCCTGGAGCACTTAGGTGATTGGTTTTGGTCCATATTCCAGCAGTTAATAGCCACTCAGAGTGCGCACTGTGAGCCCAAACTATCCTGGGATGATAGCCCAGCCTACATGTGTAGGGTGTCTCCTCTTCCTTTGACAGGTATGTGTGATAAATTCTTTTGGTAGCTTCAAGACATTTCCCAGTGGCAGCACATGTAAATTGATCCGAGCAAACTGGAAGCCTTGAGCAAATCCCTTCTGTGTTGCTATTGTTTATGCAGTGTTGTGTCATGAGACTTGCACAGAAAATAAAAGCACTCTATTTCCATAGGAAAGCATTAAAAAAAAAATGGTAGCATAATCTGACATCTTGTCCTATGTAAGATAAGGAAAGTCAAACTGCATGTTTATTAGGGAAAAAAAACCAATAACAACCCCCCCCAACTCAAACAAACAACAACAAAAAAAGGAAAGAACTCAAGGGAGACTTTGTAGGAACAGTGAAGTAGTGCACAAGTCCAGGCTTTCTCCCCTTTGCTTTTCTGCCAGCACCACTTCTGCCTGTTAGTTTGTTTTGTTAAGGTGCTTCAGGTCCTGTGTGGTTTTCAAGCTAAGCGGCAACCTCAAGTACTGCTTCTGTGTTGTTGCTTCCCCTCCCAAACCATGCCAACCATCTGGGCAGATGTTTCTCCCATGGACCCACAGAGGTGGTGCACCTGTTTCCTTCAGCACTCATCTTCTTGGTATATTTGTTCATCCAGTTCCTGGGATTCAAGGTGCTCGAGGCGGTCTGTTCGGCCACTCATAATCTCATCCGGGGTCTTCATGAACCTGCAAAACAGAGAAACAAGTGGATTTCTCAGTGGTCTCAGCTTTTCCATTCATCAAGTTGTTGAGGTCCCTGAGCTCTACAGCTCCTGAGATAATCTTTGCTGTATCCTCCCAATGCCTAGTATTTCCCACATTTTTCCCATCTTACTGATGTCTTCCCCTCTACATACCTTGAAAGGAAACAGAAAAATCACAGGCATTTAGCCCTGCTCCTTAAAAGCCCAAATCTGAACCAAACCCCACATTTTTCTTCCAAAAAATATTTATTTCTTCTCCCTCATATTGTTTGCTGTGGTCATGTAAGATGATAGTATGCCCCAGGTACACTCATTTATGGTGTCTGGTGACAGAAACATGAAAGACCTTTATGACCAGCATCTTTCAAAACAAAAGCATTTGTAAGGTGTGGAGAGGCAGAAGGCTACTGGTTTGTATGGGCCTGTGTGTAGGTGAATGAGAAGAATAAGAAACACCAAAGAAACAGTGGTGGAAAAAGCCAAGGTCCAAGTCAGAACGAGTTCTGGGAAATGGAAAAAGTCCTGAAGGAAAAAGCTTTGGGGCTAGGGAACTGTAAGGGAAGACAGTCTCTTCCTGTGTGATTGTAGCAAGCGTAATTGTACTGAAGGAGCATCGTCTGTAAATGAATGCCATGGCTTCCAGCACTAATCTCTCAATGCAGTAAGTCTGCGGGGGGCTAGAAACAGAAACAGCCTCTGTGGAGGCATGGCAGCAGTAGGAAATGGGAAAGGACATCCATCAGCCTGCAGATCAAGTCTGCAGTCTTGATTTTTGCCAGGATGCTTATGTGTACTACTGCACAGGGGTAGCATGGAAAAGCTCTGCCTTTTCTTTTTTAATGTAATGGCACAGGAAGAGAGCGTGGCACGGGAAGGATGAAATCCTAGTTTCAACACAAATCAGTCTCCTAACTACTAAGTATTTCTGGCGAAAGTAGGATGAAAGATGTTTATTCTGGAAGTGTTACAAAATTTCACAGTCTTTCATTAACGATGTACTGGTTAACATTCAGCAGTACAAAATGTGTTAATCACAAGGACTGATTTTATTTCAGGTTGATGATACACTCAGTATCCTTGGCCCAGTGAAAGCAAAAACAACCAACAGGAGCCTCGTTACTATCACTGACCCAGAAAAATCACTGCTGAAGCCTCTCAGCGAACACATAGCATAGCCTGGAACTAACCTTTTGCTATCCCTTCTAATCTGGGAAATCATGTGCACATATGCATTTAGGGAAAAAAAAAAAGGCTATGACTCACTGCTGTGTCACTCCCATTTGTATGCTGGAAGAATGCTGCTCATACAAATGGTGTTACGGCAGCGAAAAACTCATATGCCAGAGTGGTGAATCTGTTCCTGGCTACACAGTGAAAATGCACCAAAGCCTAAGGGCCTGTGCCTTGCTTTAAACCCTGTGATTGTCTTGTTTATTTTATGAGAATGAACTCAAATCGGAGAGTGATCACACTGCCCTCCCTACCATGTGGGGAAAGGGCTGATGTGAACTGTACCACAGTACTTCAGGTGTTCTTTTTGGTCTGTGTTTTAAGTCATGTCAAGGAAATCAAAGCGTGGGTATTTGTAATAGCATTTGATTACATTAAAAAAAAACCAACACAACACAACCTAACATAACCCAACCCAACCCAGAACTAGAAGCTAATTAAGAAACAGTATCTGTGACCTATTTTGTTGCAGAAGACACTCAGGCTACCTATTAGAAATCCTTCTCCAACTCGATTTTACTTAAAAGCTCCAGGTATCTGCAGATGACAACTGCCTGCATGTTACTTGTAAAGTCACAATTCCTATTACTTTTGTGCTTGCAAGATATAGCCAAGAAAGGCACATTAATGACTTGATCTTTTGCAGCTGTTCTTTTTCTCTTCAGATATAAATAGGTCTAAGAAAACAACTTCAAAAAGTTTTATTAGAGAATTGTGCAAAAAAATGCTTTACTGTTTTATTTTTTTTCCCCCAGTTTCCAAAAGAAATGAGGTTTATATGCTCATGTTTTATGTTCCCTGGTGACCTTTGAATCTGTTGGTCAATTTGGGCATGTCTGACAGAGGAACAGAGGTCTCCAAGGTCATTAAGATTTTGAGAAAATAGGCAGCCTGGTTGAGAAGAGATGGACTCCTCTTTTTGTTATGCCCCCACTGAAGGGCAGGCTTCAAGGTGTTCAGAATCACGAACTGCCCCCAGGGCAATGCAGTCTTCACACAAGGCCACAGAAATCCAGGTACCCTTGGTACTGCTGCTACTGAAACAAGCTTGTTTTAATGTTCCACCAAAAACAAAGTTAGTACCAAGCAGCTGATTTTGCCCATGACTACTACTTCCCTTCACTCTCCTTCCCCCATCTATGTTTCCTTCTAAGACCTGACATAAACAAGTCATTCTAAAGAAAGAAACCTTTTCAGCTGTAGATAGTTTGAGTGCTATTGCAGTTCTGTTAGCTATTTAAGAAAACAAACTCCAAGAACACCTTCCTACTTTCCAAGCACGGTACTAGATCCAGACCATGGACATCAAAGCAGCCTTTGGTCCAAGTTCAGTGCTCTGTGGGTCAGACATACACACTAGAATTTGCTGGTCTTGTCTGAAGAAAACTAGAGTGCTTTTGCTCTCTGCTAGCTGCACTCAAGTTTGTACAAGTTTATTGCTGTTTCAGGCACTATTTCCTGAATGTTTGGTTGTATCATCCAATCCAATGCATTGGGTTTTATGAACAGCTCTCGCAGGTCCCTCTTCCTTGAAGGCAGCAATGCTGAAAACATGGTCATCAGTGCTTCTCTTCTGTGATGCTGATGCATCTGAGGAAATGCCTGATCCCTGCTTAGCTTTCTCACTGGCAGCTGTGTTTGAGAAATCAGTTTGGAGTGGGTTTTCCAGTAGTTCAGCTGAATCATTTATCTTAGGTCTTAAACAATGGCACAGCCTGACTGAAGTGAATGTAAAGACTTCTCTTGACTCCACTGATCATGGAAACAGGCCTGTGTTTTCTTAAGTTGGTGTGGTTGCCTTGAAAGATGGCAAGCAGCTTTTATAAATGTATGGCCATTGACACCTGTTTTATAGCTGTGGCAATGAAGTATCCCACACACAATTCCATTTTCCATCTTCAAAAACTAATGGTCTGTAGAAAGGAATAGCAAAGAAAGAAAATTACCTGAACAAAAGCCTTTGTCCTGGCTCCTTCCGGATAATGTTTAGTTTGTAGTAGTGGCGTAGAGCTCTGGACATTTTCTCATAAGTCATATTTGTTCTGTTCTGTTTTTTTTTTTTCGAAAGAAAAAAGCAAAAATGTGGTGAGATGATTCATTAAAACCTGCCTAAGCCCCAAAAGGAGTTGCAGAACTATCACAGCTAGCTAAAGTAACCAGGTCAGTTCAAGAAATTACATGTTCCACTCTTCTCTTTGCAGGTCCATTCTGCCCCCACAGCCCTCATCACCAAATTTTTGTGCATCTCTTTTCAATCAGGGCAATTTAAACAAGAAATCTATCAAAAATTCCAAGTAAGGTTTTTCTACATTTTCTTGAAACACAGGTAACAAAAAATTAACTACAAGAGGAGACATTAGATGGAGGGAGGTGCTTATGCCAAGTGGAAGTGGCCTGTTCTTAAAGAAAACACATTTTGTAAAAGCCTAAGAACAGTGGCAAATACACTGAATCTGTCAGCAATCCCTGCTAAGAGCACTGTTCCTCTGAGATTTCTCTGCATTAACTAATTAATGCTTACAGAACACTGTAGAGATTGACAGCCCATTTGTCCTCTTGTTATACAGGTGTAAATCAAGAAGCCCATTAGATTGTAAATCAGGAAGCTCCTCCCCTTCATTTTGGGAGCTGTTGACCCCAAAGGCCATAGCCAGAGCACTGTGGTATACTGAAGTATGGCCCTGCTGAAGCTGAGTGTCACAAGGCAAATGTGATGGGCACTGGCAGAGATGAGCAGCCCCCATAGTACTGACCTGGGATAGCAGGATCAGCCCCTTAGGCTGTGCCTACATGAAGAGCATTTTGCTGGTCCAAAGAGCAGTGGTTATTATGCTGGCAAAGAGACTCCTAGCAGAGACACAACTATCCTGGCAAAGCTGTGTTTGCTCAACTATAAAGCACCCACCTTGCCATGAGCAAAACACATCAAACTAGTACAAGCACGCTTTTGCTCTGTGAGCCTCCATGTTAGGAGTTTGGCTTTATTAAATGAGACTGATCCACCTGCCTAAAATGTTCCATAAAAGCAGACCTCCCCTGCTTGCCCTGACCACAACAGTTCTGCTAAGAGAGGCCTCATAAAGAGCTCCTGTAGCAATTAAACACTAACAGGGACCATGTTTTCCCTGCAAAATCTGGATTCTTCTCATTGGGAAGCTCCCTGAAATACTGTGTGTGCTTCTTCCATTTCTTATATGCCAAAAGGCCACTGTTTTACCCAAGCAGCTAGTGGTCTGAAGTAGCTTCAGTTTTAGACACCCAGTATGAGACATGATGGCACAGCCCAATTAGCATGCAGGTTGGGTAAGGGCACAACTCTCCATTCCCAGTGTTGCAGCTCTAGGACAGATGTTCTTGGAAGCAATATGTCACATGAGAAAATCTTGACCTTATAAAGATTATAGGCTATGTATGCTGATATATAAAATCAGAGAATAGCTGAGGTTGGAAGGCACCTCTGGACACCACCTAGTCCAGTCCCTCTGCTCAAAGCGAGATCAACCAGAGATGGGTGCTCAGGACTGTGTCCAGTTGGATTTTGAATATCTCTAAGAATGGAGACTTCACAGTCTCCTCTGGGCAACCTGCTCCAGTGTCTGACCATCCTCCTAGTAAAACAGTCCCACACTTGGGATCTCATGAAACACAACGTGAGGCAATGTGAAGTCCCACACTCCTCAGGTCATTCCTCCCTTTGTGGAGGACTTCGCACTGCTCCTTGCTAAGTTTCATAAAATTCCTGTTAGCCTGTGTCTCCACCATGTTCAGATCCATATGGATGACAGCACAACTGTCTGGCGTATCAGCTACTCGTCCCAGTTTTGTATTGTCTGAGAACCTGCTAGAGGTACTCTGTCCCATCATCCAGGTCATTAATGAACACATTGAACAGTACTGCCCCCAGAATCAATCCCTGGGGTAACATCACTAGTGACTGGATTTTGTGCCACTGATTACAATCTTTTCAGCCCAGCAGATCAGCCAGTTTTCAATCTACCTCACTCTATTCTTGTTTAGGGCATACTTAATTAGTCTGTCTATGAGGCTATTTTGTGAGACAGTCTCAAAAGCCTTTCTAAAATCAAGATAAGCTATATCCACTATTCTCCCTGAATCCACCAAGCTGATAACTTCATTGTAGATGTATGTTACAGTGGTCAAGCACTTCCCTTTTGTAAATCCACGCTGACTACTCATACATTCATATGAATATACTTATACACATATAGATATATCTATATGTAACTCAGTCTCAAGCTGCAAAAATCAGTAACTGCAGCATTTCGTGTCTGTCACAGGACAGTGTGTGAAGTCTGAAAGTTGGTACAGACAGGGACACAGACAGAAAGCTCCTGACAAATTATTGAACAGGGTTCCTTGTAGACCACATCTAATCAGAATATCCTTAGCATCAGGTTTCCAGAAGAGATAAGACGCCTTGAGAAAGACGGACTGTTAATTCTTGCACTCCTAATTTTATAATTATGTGCATTTATATCTAAATGCTTCTGAACCAAACCAAGAGGTTTTTCTATATGAAGACTAGGTTTTAGTCCTTGAGGATGGGTGGTTTATATTTCTAATGTATGTAGAATGAAAGATTCTACATACATTAGAAATATACTGCTTTCCAGCAGTAATTTATATGCATATCCTTTCTTCGTTTTCCCCCTGTTTATAAGTGAATCCTGTAATGTTACCAGACGTGAAGTGCTGTAGGAGGAAAACTGCATTGCTTCCTTACCTTGTGGTTTCCCCACAGCCGGGCCAGCCCGTTGGGATCCACTATCCGAAATATTTTGGATTCCTTATCTTCCCATCGGATGAAATTTTCGTACCGGCTGTCAGAAAGCAGCTGATAAACGTAATCCCAAAGCAACCTACAGTCTGTGAAGAGAGAAGCAAGAAAATACTTTTTTTTTTTCTTGGGATTAATTCTGGAAACTTTTGGGTGGATGTGTAGTAAAAGGACAGTTGGGATCAGGGCTGAAACAGCTGCTGCAATCTGAAATGCAAATGGCTTGGCTGGTATTGAGTAATGTTTGCAAAATGTACTGGAATATACAGCCTCTTCTGATGTGTCCTAGTCCTTCTGACACTGACTGAGCATCTTTATCGCATTAAAAGCTGTGTGAGATGACCTGCTGACCTTAGTTTCCTGAAGCACATAAAACTACCACTGTTGGCCCTGATGCTGTTGCTGGCTGTTTTAGTGGAGAAATCAAGAATTTTGCAACCTGCTCTCCTTGCTTGAGACTGCCCCTTTCTGTGCTAACATATGAGTTCTAAAGCATGGGCAATATTACAGCTTTCCTTTGTATACTCCATGTAATACAAAATTGACACCGTCTCCCATTTTAAATTTGATTTTTTTTTTTCAGGTTCCTGAAAAAACCCCCCGAGTATTAAAATTACTTAAATGCTATTGAGTGGGTAAATACTTTCTATTTGGATAATTGAATTGGAATTTCCTCTTGAAAAACACTACTTAGGTCGCTAATTAAAGGTCTAACAGAGATTTAGGTTTGAGTTTAGTGCTTTTCAGTTTCATGGCAGTCTCTTGAGACTGAGGAAGCCAAGAGCTGAGCTGCTCCTACTTCCTGTTTGTGAAGTGTGTGTGCACAGCACAGCATAACTGGGAACTATGAAATATGCCAAGAAAATTGTACAGAGCTGGGGATGTTACTGCTGCCAGGGTTTTTATAGCTCAACTGGCCAGATTCCTAAGATGGCCACAGGGTTGCGTTTTACTTCGAAAAGCAGCACCAACCTCTGAGAGATGGCTTGTTAGAGTTGTTCAAGGGCTGGCAACCAAAGACATCCAGCTTACAAGTGCTAAAATGGATTCTTGTCAGCCTGTATTTCTATTCCTGCCTGTCTGTCTGGAGCTGGCACGTGTTACAATAGGGATGATGTTCAGTATGAAAATATAAAATGCTTTTTGAAAAAGGATATGAATAGCACATTTAATGAGCACACCTGAAATGGTTAGATATATTAACATTATTTATGGTATTTTCCCACTTTCAGTCAAGAGTATCTCTGAAACCTGTACTGTCTCCAAAACCAGTGCCCTTACTACAGACTCTTTCTACCAGTCCTATGAAGAATAAAGCAGTCTATGACATCTGGCAAAAACTGTTCTAGCTGAAACTACCCTGATGGTCATTTCATCCATAACATCTACAAGAGGAAAAATGTGAAAGGAAAGAGGTAGACTTTTTTAGTTGGAAAAACCTTATTTTCATTAATGTTTTTCACAGAAAAACATTTTCCACAGAAAAATGTCCATTCCCCTTTGAAATTTTTCAAGGTTTTAATTAAAAAAGTAAAACCTGAGGACAAGTTTCCCTGGACTTCCCTGTGGGAGGTCTGTAAAAAGAGCCTGAAAATGAGAGGCTAGCACTTTAATTTCTGTTACCCTCCCTCTCACAGACTCAGAAAACGCAGTTCTTCCATTGCCCTTCTGTCAATATTTTTGGACACAAATACATACACATATTAGAGAAAACCTTTTCTAGACTTCATTTATCAATCAAGAGAAGGGAGATTATATTGCTCTACTGGTTTGTGCCTTTTAATATTGTGTGAGGTTCTCAGGTAAAATGATAGTAAGAGCCAACATAAGCGATTCCTTGACACATGTGCAATTCATTCCAGGACTCTTTCAATGTCAGAAATGTATAGAAAATGTTTTTTTAGTGCAAGAATCCTTGGGCTCAACTGGAGGGATGGTGCTCCCGCAGAGACAAGTCAATGTCAGGCTTTGTCATATTCCTGAATGTCCAACCTGGATCAGATAGCCTCCGATTATAGCACCTTATAGCTAATATTTCCAAGTGCTGCAGAGATATGATTTACACTAAACTTTACTTTCACCTCATTATTTCCAATAGGCAATATTAGTTTTAATCTCTCTCTCTCACAAACACCCCCACCGGTTTCCTTTTCTTCACAAAACCAAGGAAGCACACAAAAAAATCAGCCTAAGATGTCTAGGTGTCAAATAGATTAACAAGAGAGCTTCAGATGCTAAGAAGATATAGGATTCAAGTGCAGATTTGTTTTTTGTTGTTCACTTAATTTTTAGAATGGATTCAGGGCAAGCTTGAATATAAATATACCTCAGATGAGAAAAACTCAGATCTGCATCTTCAGATCTTCACAAGGAAGTCCTAAGTGACCAAGGACTTGGTCCCATATTCTAAACTGACTGAGCTGCTCAGACTTGCAGAGGTATTTAGTAGGCTGGTGGAATTTGCAAAAAACCACAACCACCAAAGTATGTTAGACTGCTGTTTGCTTCAACGAGAAAACTGAAAATCCTTGAAACCTCTGCTTGGTTCCTACAACCACTTAAAAACTCGTTTTCAAACGGTATAGTTGTCTATCAGCAAGTTTAGATATATGACTCAGTTGCAATAATTTAATGAGCATCAGGGCAACTATGGTAACTGTGTCTCAAGCCACTGCAAATAGGAAATAAAAACCATTAACACCAGTAGGAAAGATTCAGCTCCCTGCATTTCTTCTCACCAGAGCTGAGAGTTATGAGCATGCACAGTGTTAGTTATCGTGGACCAGCTGATGCCTTACAGCACACTTTAGTTATGTATGAGCTCTGTTTGCAGAGTACCTAAATCAGCTTGCCTGCTTTCAGGTTTCACATGGGAGACCTTTAGGAATTTGAGCATGGGCACTCTGGGACTTTTTTGTTTGATTTTAACCACAGATGATTTACACCCTAAGTATCTTTCTCCACAGACTGCATGGTAAAAAAGTAAAAAGGTCCTGGAAAGGTCTACTAACTGACAGAGGATCAGCAAATGAAATAATCTACCAATAGGCCAGCAGAAACCATCTTTAATAGGATATTACAGACTACAGGTCAAAGACTACCTGATAACTCTTAGAGACTGTAATGCATTTGGATTATAGTAGAGCCCATTTGAAGTACACTGCAAGACTATGAAATAGGTCAAAACCCAAGAAGAGGCAATGGTAGAAAATGCTTTTAAAAGGAGCTTTTCCACTGAGAAAAGAGGCATTTTCACAAAAGGCTGGTGAAGATGATGGACAATGCTCTCAGGCACATGGTGGGATTCTTGGGGCTGTCCTGTGCAGGGCCAGCAGTTGGACTTTGATGGTCCTTGTGGGTGCCTTCCAACTCAGGATATTCTGTGATTCTGAGATATGGAAAGTTGCATCCTCCAGGAAGGTCAAAATTGTTATGCGAATTTTCAGGAAGGATAGAGAAACAGAGAGGAGAACTTGTATGTGGATGGTTGTTTTGTAAGAGTAAATCACTTGCATGAGGAAAGTCTGGATGGTGTGAATGACTCCATGAGAACCAAATCACTTCCTTGGCTGTCAGAAGGCCTCAAAAAAACTTGCATGAGGGGACTCTCCACAGGGTGTGTGTTGGATAGTAAGGAATGACAAGAAAGCACATGGATGTTTCTGAGGCCAACCAAGTTTAAAATTGTGGGAGATTCAATAGGAGAATTGAGTCAGGGCTGGTACCTAAATTGCATGCTGCAATTTCCTGCCTTTTGGCTACAATAAACTTACAGAGAAAATAATTGTGCCTCTGTAGCATGAGGAAACATCATTTCCCCCTAACACGCCCATACGTTTTTTCTAAAATGAATTCAGATGGTTGAACTTTGTACAGTATGAAGGTAAAGGGATTTAGCTGTGGGTAGAGCTGGGTCTAAGAGGCTTTAAGGTGATGCAGTATCAAACAACCTAGCCAGAGTGGGAAGGTGGCAAATGGCCCAGCAATGTGGCAGGCTCCTAAACACTGGAATTTCCAAGTCCTACCATTTTCTCCGCTGTACAGACTGAACTACATACTTAGCTAGGCATTAGGGCAAACTGTACCTTCAAATGGAGAGGAATGGCTACAACCTTCCTCTTGCAGTTAGTGCTTCTAGAGGGACTTTTATAGTTATGCTTGAGGTAGTGATAAGGTGTAGAGTACTTAGCTGGTTCTCAAAATGTCTGTTATAAACACTGCCCTACATGTGCAAGAGGCAGCAGTTTCACACTCCTGCAAATAACAGCTATGTATGGTAGAGTCCTAAGGTTGGCAGACCTAGAGTAAAGCCTTGGGGGCTGCCTTTCCACTCAGTCTCTTGGCTGCTGCTTGCCTGCCATAGTTGACACTATGCATAAGAAGAACAGGCAGCTACCCAGCTCTAGAAAGGGTGGGGAAGACGAGATAGAGCAGTTGGGGTTTACAAAATATAAAGAAATCTCTCTCATAAACAGCAAATTTTACAGTTTAAATGCTGGCTTCAAACTCCACTCACAGCAGCACACTTGCCTATTTGCTGTAGTTTTAACCCCTCCTTTCACATAGCAGAAGTGCCCAAACCTCAGCCACTCTTCCTTGGCATGGTAAAATTCAAAATTCTCTTTTCTGGTGAAAAGCTCTGTTTACTTACAGCACAGCTTTGGTAATGCTACATAAAAGGGGAGACTATAAATATTGTCATTAAGAATCCCTTGTGACACTCAAATAGGCACTGTGAGTCTGTATTACAGATTCTTCATTTCGCATATTGTTTAAGACTACAGGCACAGTCTTCTGAATATACACCTAAAGAACACTGGCATGTAAATACTTCCTAATGGCTATATGATAAAATATCCCTTAGAATTGAAATACCATCTCAAAATTATCTGTAAATTAAATATTATGGATCTTAGGTTCCTAGTATTTTGACATTTGTCCAGCCATTATGAATGACTTCTCTAGTATCATTTGGCCAAGGTCATCTTCACGTCACGGTAGTGAGAGGTCTTACATCTTTCCTCCCTAGGACTAAATAATGCTGGTAACAGTATAGGCATATACTAAAGACCTCTTTTGTTCAGAATAT